AGAAAAGGATTGTTGAAGACGGTTGTAATCAAGACTACTCAAAAGAGAACATTTATATTTAAAAGACTTATTCATGCATAAGCTCCAGCTATGGAGAGGATTGTCACTAGGCAGAATGTTTCTTTGGTGCCTATGAACACCATACTTCTACCAACCGAACCATTTGCACTCACGACGTTGAGGATTCCTCATATAGAGGAAGGTAGTCCAAGAGAAAGAAAAGGTGGTGTGTTGAATAGTGAACCCAAAAGTTATAATGAAAGCACACTGAGCATCTCAAGACCCAAATCTATTATGATTGTCTCTAACCAGAATAAATTTTTAAATATGACGTGAGTGAAGAGAAACAATTTCACTTGTAAAACAATCACTCTATGCCCCATAACATTAAGCCCTCACTCCTTAGAGAAGAAAATACATGAAACCTTATTAGCAAGAGTATATAAAAGCCTAAAAAGAGTGAAGGAGAAAGGCATTGTTAAGAGGACATATGAACAACCAATTGTCTAAAGGTTATAAGAAAGCTCTACCTTGAGAGAAATCATGTATTTCTATAGCTGAAAATAAGCTAAATGAAGTCTTACAAGGTGAACATCCAAGTGTGACACACTTCGGAGGCCAAGAATCCATCATTAAAAAGTCTCAATGAAAAGGAAAGAAAGTTTGGAGGTCAAAATTCTCATAAAGAAAATCATGTTGAGAAGTTGAAAGGCGTGATATCTGGTTTGTAGTTCCAGAGATCTGCCATAAACAAAAGAAAATTCCTATTGATAATTTTTGTGATAGTCGGTTCCTTAGATAGTCCTTTTAAGGATCCCATAAGGTAGCCAACTCTAACCTCTAACAAGTAAACTAATTTGAATCCTGGACTATTGAAATCATGTATATGCCTCATAAAGATCTAGAAGTTCAATAGAAGCATTGATTATAAGTACGATAAAAAGAAGAAGAAGATACCGTGTAGATTAAAGTTGTCTACATGGAATAACACATCTTCAAGCAATTTGGAACATGCCCATCAGCATATATAATGTGGAGCCTTATCATGATAAACATAAATGACGAGCTTATGTTGATTGTCGTAGAAACTTATTTAGTTGTAGATTCAACAAATTTACAAACTCTGCAATGAAAGAAGCAAAGTTCAAACTAGTATGATGAAACTTCAATTAACCTTCACAACCCATCAAATTAATGACTCAAATGATGAAATAATTCCAACTCCACGGGTGGAGAGGTCATCAAATTCAAGCTATTATGATGAAACTTTGATTAACCCTCATTCTCTATAAAATAAACAAAATTCCATTAAAAGAAATTCTAACAACCCTTTGGGTGATGGGGTTATCAAATTCAAGTCACTATGGTGAATTTTGATGATTCCTCATTCTCCATAAAATAAATAAAATTCACTTGAATTTTCAACAATCCTACAAGTAGATGGGTCATCAAATCCAAGTCAACATATTACAACTTTGATTGTTCTCCGTCATAATCTATTTCTCAAAACTAATAGGAGCCTTAGATTACTAAAGAAGAAAACAAGCTTGAGGAAATTTTAAAATTATGAAATTAAACATTTGTGGTATAAAAGGAGCACGATTAGATATCAACTTTTGTCGATTATTTCAAATAAATTGTAAACCTAACAAGTCAAAAAGAGAGTTCTATGCAATGCTTTTGTCAATAATATTCTTTATTATAGGTCCTTCAATCAAATATAGCTTAGATGTTTGAAGACTGATAAAGTTGATAAGTTTATAGTTGAATTTCACGAAGTCTGGTATGATGACACTAGTTAGGTCCTAAAATTGCAATTAAAACTAAAAGGTGAGCTACTATTGGTTGTCAACGATGAAATGTTGCATCAATCATGTTAAGATGGATCATGGCTGTCAAATTCATGATGACACAATATACCAATGTCCAAATTGATTACACCTAATAAAAGCCTCTTGTTCATTTAAATGTTGGTATATTAGATCCATTAATCTTTCATCATCTAGTGGGCATCACTAAAGATGTCTACGTCGAACCCCTTATTAATTTCTTTACCCACAATATTGTTTGTTAACTCGGCATGCCACGTTATGTTATCTCATACAATTGGCTAGCATTTCAAAGCATAAAGAGATGCAATTCATTGATCAACTTACAACAAAATTTTGGTCAAGCTATTCACAAAAATCTTCATCAAGAATAAAAGAGAATGGTTTATCAAAATTATAAAAGCATTATGGGCATCAAATTACGCATATGGCATGAACTAAAGTAGTTCTCCCACTTAAGGTTATGTTGCCTTTTGCTTTGAGTAGCCATCAAATATTATCTCACTCAAAAGCAAAATGCTCATTTGTGAATGAAAGAGCTCGAGTCTTTTACTCAAGTGGGTCCAAAAGATTTTACTTTACATACCCACATATGTTTGAGTCACTGACAGCTCTTCTTACTCAATCAAGTCATAAAAATAGTTGTAATAAGAGAGCCCCCATAATATCAATTTTATAACAAGAGTTGTCTAATTTCAAGCCTATTCTACATGACGAGTTCAAGTGACCTGGATCAAAGAGATTTTAATTGACAAATAGGTCAAATCAAAATTAAAGAAATAATCCACGCATACGAAAGCATCAAGTTAAGTTTGGTATCATCATCAAATTAAGATGCCTTAATCCTTCATTAACTTTGTTAAGCATAAAGCAAAGATGGAAAGGATTTTTCTTCTTTAAGAAGTTCAATAAAAAACAAAGCATATAACCAATGTTATAACGAATTTTACTCAAACCCCGATTTTGAACCTAAGAAAATCTTGTCATTTATAGGTTTATCAAAGCATTAAGCATCTAACGAATGCCTTCAATTATTGCCCTAAAACAAGCCTCAAGGGTTAGTTTACCAATTCCGCATCTTTCATTTTGTCTATCAAAGCAGAAAGCATATGATATAAGGTATGCTAGTTCTCCTTACCAAGTCGATAAAGATAAATCAAATTAATTCTTTCATTAAGTCCATCAAATTACAAAGCACAACACATAAGGAACTTTACATGCAATTTCTAAAAATTTTCAAACTTAATTTCTCATCATCAAGTCCAAGCACAAAGCATCAGACTAATGACAACATCCATTCACTCAATAAGTTTATAGAGTCGAGCCTAAGAAACTCAAATCTAATGCCTAAGCCTAGAATCAAATCTACCTTAATTCAAAAACAATTTTTAGACTTCAACAAATTTCCTCAATTCATGACAATCATCAACCAAAGGCTAATCTACAATGATGATTACCTACATGCCAAAGTTTAAGTTCACTTTTGCTTTGACATTTATGAATGTCCCTTGGGGTTTAAAAAGCCAAATATTTAGCATGACAATGAAGCAAATTTTTGGAGATTCATAGGTCTGCTAGTGTATAAAAAATATGCTTCACTTTATAAGCACACCAAATTTCATAAGAAACACTCATAATGCAATGGGTAAGTTCTGTGCACGATATTTTTAACATAGCGGGAAAATATATTGTATGTTGCAAAATTTCTTGTGTGACATGCAACGCCTTTTTGGGCGTCGTGGGTTTGAAGACTACACTTGTAATGTATTAGGACATCGATTATGTGCGCTATTTGGTTTGCTCATATAAGCCCTCTTATGCAAGAGAAATGCCTAGAGACAGGTAAAATTTTATCTAGATGAATTGCAAGTGACAAAAAATAGAATTTCTTGATTCATATACAATTTAATGATAAAAATTCTTAAATTTTATAAAATAAGAATAAAATGAAAGATCAAAATCTAAAACATGGTACAAAGATTAACACAAAACTTAACTCAAATCAAACTTATAATGTACTTGTAGTGAGTTCAATGGCTAACTTATGAGCGTGAACAGAGCCTTCTCACCTCCTCTGGAATTCTCAGAATTATGAACTGAATGAGTGTTGAGATAAAAATGAACTCCAACTCTTTTATTATTTATTGGATACAAATTGATTCACCATAAGACCCACAACTAAAAGATAACAAATCATATATGAAAAAAATTATGACACCTTGAAGTACTTAATGGATTCTAACTCCTAAAAATTGCAACCGAATCACATCACGCAAGCGGATTAGATGCGATCTCTTAAAATTTGAAATGAAACATTCCACACATCTTAATGAAAATTTTTTTTGTGCAAACATTAAATTTAGATAATTTTAAATCCTATGAAGATAATGATGTAATATTCAACTCAATCACAATGGCTCAATAATTTTGCAAATGCACTAAAAGGTGTGTATGTCAAAACATCAATGTGCTCCGACAAATGTATTAAATGCTCAACTTTAAAGCCAAATACTATTGTGCAAACTAAAAATAAGATTTACTTAAATATTCACGCTTGGAGAACGATGGAACTCTTTTTGACAAGCGAGCAAGTATTTTTGAAAACTCATTGAACTCTCTTTTAAATTTAAAATCTTCTACATGTTATGCTTTCGAGCAGGCCGCCCTACCGATATTGTAGGGTTGTAAATTTCATATTTCAAGGCGGATCCTCCATGCCCCAATGACTAAGGTTGACATGATTTGAATCATATGATAAATATCCATGAATTTTTTTTGAAATAATCACAATCAATGAATGATTTTAAATATTCTACTCTTATTTTAAACAAACAAGTTCATTTCATCTTGCACTAGGAACTAAGTTCTTAATTGCAAAATTCACAAGGTTATTTTTTTCTTTTGTTTGCATGAGGCCTTAAAAGCCTTTAATAAAGAAAATTCATTTAAAACAATGCAATCTTAAGTATTGCGCCTATAAAGTATAATTGCAAGTTCTAACTTACAAACCCGATCTTCTGCAGATGGAGATAAAGTCAGACAAGGACAAAACCTTTCTTGAATAATATCTCTTTCCTTATCATCGTTATTATTGTCACCAACATCACTGAGACTTTGATTTCTGTGTTTTCCATCTATCCTTTCCTGTTTGAAATCTGTTTTTTTGTCTCATTCTCATTCTCTTAGTTGTTTTGCCTTTCAATTTTATTTAGGTCATGAACGGTCTCTTAGCAATGAATCTTCTTGGGAAGTGGATTCTCTTTTGAAGGTCAAATCCATCTACATAAGTTCTGCAATATTAGCGGCTAAAAGCCCTTTTTTCTACAAGGTAATATAAGTTGTGCTACTATGTTCTTCAGTTGCTCTTTTAAATTAATGGTATTTATATTACTGATTATTTGACATATTTTTTCTTTGTTGCAGCTTTTCTCAAATGGCATGCGGGAATCTGATCAGCGGCATGCTACCTTGCGAATTAATGAGTCAGGTTGTTCAAAAGTCCTAATATATGCATCTATACACATATCTGCATAAAACTTGAAATTTTTTTAAGGAAATTGTAAACATAAACCATGTAAAATTGCTACATTACTCTCTTCTGCGTGAAAATCTTTCTATATCCTCCATTCAGTTTTCTTAATAAACAAAGTTGTGTGGAAATTAAAAAAGGTGCTCAAATAACATAAACTGTTTATATGGTCTATCTGTTACATTTTGCCGAACACCCACCATTATTCCAATCATTTGGCTCAAAACAAGCAAAAAATGGGTTTGGACAATATTGTCATTTACTTATGGAACTGTAACATTTCCACTCTAATCAATGAACACTTCGAAACTTTTTGAACTTTCATTTGTGTTATTTTTCTTATATTGATTATTTATCAGATCATTCTTAGAATGTAGCACAGAATGATTTCTAGAATGAAAAGTAATGTTTTTAGTTTATTTCATTTGTGCATTCTATTTCCATTGAAATTTTTAATTGACATCACTTTCTTGTTACAGAGGAAGCTGCTCTTATGGAACTGTTGAGTTTTATGTACAGCGGAAAGTTGTCAAGTCTCTCAGCAACAGCTCTTCTAGATGTTCTTTTGGCGGCTGATAAATTTGAGGTTGCTTCTTGCATGAGGCACTGCAGTCAGATGCTAAGAACATTGCCAATGACTACAGATTCAGCACTCCTCTTTCTAGAACTCCCATCCAGTGTTTCTATGGCTTCTGCAGTTCAGCCACTTACAGATGCTGCCAAAGAATTTCTTGCCAATAAATATAGGGATATAAGCAAGTGAGAAAATATATTTAAGCATTAAACTCTTCATTTACATAACTCCAGCAAATAATAAGTTAAATTTGCCATTAGGTTCCAGGATGAAGTGATGAATCTACCCCTAGCCGGCATTGAGGCAATCCTGATCAATGATGACCTCCAAGTAGCTTCAGAGGATGCTGTTTATGACTTGGTGCTAAAATGGGCTCGAGCACAATACCCGAAACTGGAAGACCGGCGAGAAATACTCGGATCCCGTCTCGGACGCTTAATCCGATTCCCTTTTATGACTTGTCGGAAGTTGAGAAAGGTGCTTGCAGGCAATGAACTTGACCATGAGACCGCCGCTAAAGCTGTCATGGATGCATTGTTCTTCAAGTCCGAGACCCTGCATCGGCAACGTGCACTCGCCTTAGAAGATGTCATCAACCGACGGTTTGTTGAACGGGCTTACAAATATCGTCCAGTGAAGGTGGTCGAGTTTGATCAACCCCATCCTCAATGCATCGTTTATCTAGACTTAAATAGGGAGGAGTGTGCCAATTTGTTTCCATCCGGTCGTGTCTATTCTCAGGCATTCCACTTAGGTGGCCATGGATTCTTCCTCTCTGCACACTGCAACATGGATCAACAAGCCTCATTTCATTGCTTTGGACTTTTCTTAGGAATGCAGGAAAAAGGTTCTGTGAGCTTTACAGTAGACTATGAATTTGCGGCGAGGGTGAACCTGACTGGAGAGTTTGTTAGCAAATACAAAGGATATTATACCTTTACGGGAGGCAAAGCAGTTGGATATAGAAATTTGTTTGCAATTTCATGGACAGCTTTTATGGCTGAGGATAGTCAGTATTTCATGAATGATATTCTTCATTTGAGAGCAGAGTTGACAATCAAACAACCACAGCAATTGCTTCAGCGCTAACCATTCTTTTACTAAATCTTTTTTTACTCTAAGTGGACTTACACGTTAACTTCAATGATGATGTTACTAAACCTTAGTTTTTTTTTTAGGATGTTACTTTTGGTTTTGGATTAATTCTGATGGTGCAAATCTATATTTTGGAGGAAAATTAATAAATTTGTTGCTTGAGAACAGAAAATTTTTTTGAATCTACAATTGCTTGGGATGAAATGATTATGTCAAATGTAGCTTTTGATTTTGATGTGATGACTTCAAGTTTTTTGGGATGACTATAATTATCTGTGAAATGAATTATTATGAGAATAAAATAGAGTTTCTAAAATTATCTATTTGTATACTATTTATTTACTGTGCTGGTCTAAGAGGTTTCCAATTTTTAGACAATAAATTCAAGTATTATTGCATTTTTTTTTGTCTATATTCTCTTATCTTTATTGAACTGATAGTTTTTGTTTTGGCTTCGTTGGTATTTGCTAATATGTTGTGTTTTTTTTATATATAATAGGATTTTTTTATCAAAGCATAAATCATATGTTCGTTTCAATATAAATGTGAGTATAATTTAATATATCTAATGATTTTTCTTATGTCAAGATGTGGTTGATATATGTTTTCTTTTTGGATGTCAGAATTTTTAGATGAAATATTTCTAGGCACACTTTACATTCTATTTTTCTAAAAGTGATTATTTAAAGCATCATTTGTAAATAAAAAAAATAGGAAGAATTTTAAAAATAGATATAATAAATAATGTAATTTCTTAGAAAAGCATATTAAAAATAAAATTTTGAAATAGATATAATCGACTGTTTGATGGGCGATTTATTGTTGGCATGTTGAGTTTTCTTTTAATAAATACATGCAAATAGATAAAAAAAAATCTTAAATTTTTAATTTTCTTTTCAAAATGAGTGTAAAATTAATTATTTATATATTATATTTATCTCAAAATATATTTCAAACTTTTTTTTTGTTATTATTAAAATTGTGATAAGAATTATCTAATCTAACTTTTTTTAAAACATCCTTGAATTTAGGTATACACATATTAGAGTTATTTTTATACTCTAAAAATTAACTTCAAGACTTAAATATTAGTTTTTTTTATATTTTATTATATTGTTTTCTTATTATGATGATGTAGCACATCAATATTTCGCAATTTAGTATATTTCTCATAAACATACACTTAAATAGATATAACCAAATTCAAGAATTTTATTTTAGATAAAAAATTTAAATATTTTTTTTGACAAATATAGTATAGAAATAATTAATTTGACATAATTTTGAAAAAAATTATAATTTTTGGATTTACTTTTATCTTTTTATGAATACTTATTATAAAATAATTTTCATATTAGCACTAAGCTCCCAACATACATATCAAAATGGGTTGCGTACATTTTATACATTCAAATTTAATAAATTGTGTTGGACTATTGATTAGGTGTGTCAAAAAGAGTTTTCAGGCTGGGTTTAGGTCGAACCAGGAACCAACTCGCCTTCATTGGCCTAACCCAATTATACAAACATGTTAAAAATCTAAACCCAGAGCTGAACCGTCCTTAACCCGGGTTGACCTAACCCAACCTCTAACCTGTCTGGTTGCAAGCAAGGGAAAGGCCACAATCACGAGGGCGAGGACGCGACTAACATGTGAGTGAGCACAAGGGAAAACGCGGGCAAGGGTAAGCACTAGTGCGAGCACGAGGGCGAGTGCGACCATGGCAAGCGCTGGCGTGAGCGGAGGTGTGCAGATCCGAGGGCAATTGTGAGTATGAGAGCAACCATGCACATGCTAGCACGACCCAAGTCAATTTTGGGTTGATTTCTGATTTTTGAGTTTACCTGAACCCAAACCAAATTTGTAATCGGGTTAGGATTTGAAATCCAAATTCAATCAATTTTTCAAATTGGTTGTCCCAAATAAAAAATTTTAAGGTTGGACATGAGTCATGTCAAGTATTTACTCTCCTACTACTGATAAACAACCACATGTAAACCTATTTTTATTTCAACATTTTTTTAACACAGTGATTAATTTATGATTTCAAGGAACTTACTATACATTTCATCATACCTCAGAAATTTACCAAGGGATTATTTAATGTAAAGTATTTCAAATACATATATTTAAAAAATATTAGTATTTGATTTAAAATTTAAAAAATTAAAGTAAACTTTAAAAGTATTTAAAATCTACTCTCTTTTTTAATTTAGATGTATTTTTAAATAAACTAAATTCTCTATCATAGCATAGCCGACAGTAAGCCACCAACCAACGAAAACACCCATCACTTGCTACCTTGGTCATGACCATTAGTTTGTCACGCTCATTGAGCTTAACCGTACATTTATTTTACTTCAAATCAAATAAAACAAATAATTACCTATATTAATTTCCACATTTCAAAACAATTTTAATATTTCAAATAAGAATATTCTTTTTAATGTATTCGCTTTTCAATAAAGAAAACAACCCCTCCTAATGAACTTAATTTGGCAAGCAAAATTTGCTAGCAAAATATTTTTTTTTCTACACATTTCAATCAAAATTTTTCAATACATATATGAATCATAGGTAAATTCATATAATATTAACAAATTTGTGCTAAAAAAAAACAATAAATATTACATAAAAAAACAGCAGCAACAACAACAACAATAGCCTCGTCTTCAGAAATTTTTGTTTTTGTTGCTCGTTTCCCAGATCGCATTAAAAATACAAAAATCTCATGCCATTGTGAACAATTTGAACAGTTTGAATCGAACAAAATATGATATATATCATATTACGAAAAAAGAGTAATAATAACATAGTAGAGAAGCAGTACATTTATCTCAGAAATCTAAGAAAACCATTGGTCAATGAACAGATTAATCGAGTAGTTTGCACAGCTTGTTTGATCCCAAATATGGAACAGCCTTCTGCAGGATCTACAAAAGAATTATAAATGCAAAGAACATGCGAGTATAATAAGTAGCAATCTTAATTTACAAGAAATATGTTTGTTTTCATTTCAATACATCTTATTTTGGAAGATGAATATCATGCTATTCTATCCATGCTTTAAATTTGTGCTAATTAAGAACGATAAGCAGAAAGAAATGAAAGAAAGATACTCGATCCATAAATTTAGCATGCTTTGCCTTAAATTTGATTATGAACATTTTTATCGAGATTCATCTAGTTTTTCATTATAATATGCAACTGCATGCGCCCCTTAGATAAAAACAGCCTGATGCCTATATTAGAAGCCTCACACTCCATTTCAAAGACTTGATTGAATCAGGTAATAATAATACTGGGGCAACATCTCTAGGAACTTACGTTGATTGAAGTTATCTTGAGCCTGTTTAGTTCAAATGAATGTAGTTTTTAGGAGCTCAATCAAAGGTACCAAAATGTTAGATGAATCGGCGATAGGAGGAAGCTAGCCCGTAGAATCTCGTGCATAAACTAGGGATTGGGGCATCAACTAGTCCACAATGGCCTCATTTTTTTTATTGGGTCAATTTCCATACCTATAACAAAATGAACGTCAAAAAGTTGTATATGTTGGATATGTTCTTCTGCGGTCCAACTATACCAAGGATGTCATCGAAATAGACGACCACAAAGCTTCACAAGAAAGAACGGAAACATCTAATTCATAAACTGCATAAAGGTGTAGAACGCATGGGATAGTTCAAATGCATAAAGATCCATTCATAGAGGCCATCATGCATTTTTAATATTGTTTCCTCTTCATCACTTGGTCGCATTCGAATTTGATGATAACCATTTCTAAAATCTATTTTGGAGAAACATGCTGCCCCATGTAGCTGATTAAATAAATCATCGAGACAGGAAATTAAAAATCAATGTTTAATGGATATTTTGTTCTCAGCGGCTATACAAATTTGCCAAGATCCATTCTTCTTTGACAGGAGGAGAGCTGGGACACACCAAACCATTAGCAATCTAATCATCCACTTGCCGTTGGAGTCCCTCAATGGTCGCCCTTGGAATGAAATTAATAGCGTGTTATACTTCTTGCAGTGGAAGGTGTTCAGTTGGAATGGACACGGGGAATACATCAGAGTTGATGTAGCAATGACTGACTAATTTCAGGCAAAGGTGGCTGTTTTGAGTTTTATTCCAGCACAACTAAAGGCCAAACAGTGACCACTCTACCTGCATGAACAACGATTGAGGCAAAATTAACTTGCTTTTTGCTTTCAACGGGCACAGTCGCTTCAACGGCATCCACATAATAGAGGTGTCGTCTTTGTGGAATGAATAAGTATTAAGAAACCCATCATGCTTGGTTCTGCAATCAAATTGTCAAGGCCGTGGCAGCATCCCTAGGAACAACAACATACAAAACGTATTCCTGAAATTTTCTCAATTGAAAACTGAACCAAGCATTGTTTGGCCCCAGATACCTCGTTTCCCTTATTGAGCCAAGATAGTTTATATGGCTTCGGATGGGGTATAATTGGAAGATTTAATTTCTTCATTATGAAGGCTGGAAATCACATTCTCACATCTTCTCCTATCAATTACAAGATTGCAAACCTTGTCTTGAACGATACACCTCATTCGAAAGATGCTGTGAAGAAGCCACTCATTCTCTTTTTCATATTTGATATTCAGGATGGGCTAAACTACCAGTAACTCTCAGTCATCAGCATATAAAATTTGCTCTCCGCCTGGATTCTTTGCTTAAATCATTGTCTTTTATCAATTCTTTCACTGCTTCTTCTAGTACCAGTGAAACAATTCACCGATTTGAACATTCTTATTCTCTATGTCCAAAGCTGGAACAATTATTACGTCCTCCGACCGGATGCAGAGGAACATTCGGTCGTAGGCAAAATCGCGCCTATACCGAGGTGTACCGAGTTTTTGAAAAAACTCGGTACACCTCGGTATAGGCGCTATTTTGCCTACGACCGAATGTTCCTCTGATTCCTTACACCGAACCAAATAAAAGTTCCCAAAGCTTTGGCATTTAAAACATTTCGAACAGGCAAATTTAGTGTTATTGTTGGTCCTACCAGGCCTAGGGCACCTTCACGAATTGATCCTTCGGTTTGTCTACCTGAGATAGTGTTCTTGAATCAAATTCCCCTAGGATTTTCGGTTCCCTTCCCGACCTAATTCTGCTATTTGCCAGGTTGCTGCTGTCTCTCCACTTTGAGAGCCAGATTGATGACACCCACAAGTGTCCAATAGAGTTGTAACTGAACCACATTAGCAATAGAGGAAGCCGAAAAAATTGAGGAATTGTATTCCACTCCGGCTCAATCAAGTTGCATTTCAAACCCAACTACTTGAATTCCATGACAAAGCTCTGAACAGAGAGTTCTTGTCTTCGTAAATTATGTTGTCACATAAACATGTCTTGTCAATAGTTGTTATGATAAGAATTTTCGCTGCATTTCCTTCTGCATCTTGGTCCAAGGGGTGATCATGACTCTTCTCCTTCTCATTGCGGTGTTCGCTCTAAACTCTCCCACCATGGAGATGTATTTTTCTTTAGCTTGATTACCACAAATTTAACGATGTGATATTATGGTACCTCTTTGGAATTCAAGAATTCATTCAACTTTTTATATTCAAATGATGAATTCATCTGCATCTAATCTTCCAATTGATGAATTCGTCTAAATTCACCACAAAAAGTAGTTGTCAAAAATGAGAAAAAGTATAAATTTTTTTCATTCCTCAATGAATTTTATATATGTCATGGATCCTATTTATTATAAAAAAAAACCCCAAATATAGTTAATTTTCATAATCTGTTAGAATATGATTAAATACATCAAGTTTCATGAATTCCAGCACATAGGCATATATCATGTGCATTGTAATGTTGGGTTGAAGAAAAGAGTCGTCGGACCCTCATAGCAGGAAGGTCACTCCTTCGCTAGAAAAGTGTCGTAGTGGAAAGGTTAGGTTCTTCATTTTCGCAATACCATTGATTGCTACAATCCTACAAACTACTAATTGCAATAGCCCCGCAAGCAACCAATTGCTATTGTTCCTCAAAATGTTGATGCTACAGTTCCAAGAGCCATTTAAGGAAACCACCCAAAAAAGAATCTCTTATTCTTACAATCTCCTAAAAAACCATAGAAAGCAAGAAAGAAACGTAAAACACACGTAGCAGTAAGAGATACAATCCTAGGGAAAGGAAAGACAATGTTTGCATCATTATTTTATTAGGGTTACTATATAAATAGTAATCTTTTTAGCATTTTGTTAATAGATATCACATCACAAACTATGTACGCTAAAGCGTTTGAGTTGGCAAAAAGGTTTTGAATAATTAAGTGGATTTTTTTAGTTTGAGAAATGAAATACAAATGTCCAAAGAATGGAACAAAAGTGATCAGCAAAATAAAAAAGGAGCATAAGCTTCAGTAATGCAATTATTGCATCATTGCATAGGTAAATCTTCATGTGTGGTTACTTATTAAGGCTTTGTTTGGGACGATTTTTTTATGCTTCTTAAAGCAGCTTTTTAGTACAAAAATTAATTTTTATACTAAAAAGATGCTTTAAGAAGCAACTAAAAAGCTGTCCCAAACAAAGCCTAAGTTTTATGTCAAGTGAAAAGCTGGTAAACATTGAAATACGGACCTCAAAGCTTCACATCCCCAATATAGAACTCATCAACCATGTCAAAAACACGAGTTGCATGTTGTGGGCTGCAAGAAACAGAAAAGAAAATAGGTAAATAGCCTAGTAGTTAAACGGATTTCCTATTTCAAGGCTTGTATACTCTTTGCAAGATGTATGATATATAACACATGAAATGCCTTCTTACTACTGCACACTGATGGAGCTTGAATCAAATATCTGCTTAAATGTTTTTGTTGCATTTAAAATTGAATGAATCTTAGCATAATTACAAAATCTAGTTAAAAAATCTCTGCATTAAACAACCAACGTGGAAGACAATCCATTTCCATTTCTAGTTACAGCAAATCAGGTAGGTCATACATGAAAAGCATGAACATTCTCACTTTCTCAGCAAGCATGCTTCTAGTCATCTACCTTCTTTCATTTAAAATCCCCCAGCTGGGTCTCCTAAGAAAATTTTGCTGCTTTTCAGACAAGCATTTTGGAGGCATACAACGCAGAAGGAAAACCTAACAATCAATGCATGGGAAGGTGATAAACTAATCAGACCAGATTCATCCGGAGTAAATTCTGCAGCCTTGTAGACAGAATCATTTTGAGATGCATGAGCAAAAGGAAACCAAACAATCAAGGGATTGGAAGGCGTGTCAAAGACAATGACATAAGATGGCATCAAGGATTTCAATGTCTGTAAATTAATTAGTATTTTAAGTTTAGGAGATACCATGAGAGAGAGAGAGAGAGAGAAAGAGAGCCCAATAATAACCCTTAGCATCTTTGATGTAGAACGGATATTGGGGGGGAGGGGATCATTGAAATTTGAACTTCAAACTAAATGGAAAAGGGAGGGAAGGGATACTTTATTAATCCCTTAAATAGAGTTCTATTTTTTTGGGAAGGAATTAATTAAAATAGGAGAGAGATTGGGGGCCTTAATAGAGAAGCATTAATTAAGTAGAGAGAGGAGATAGGAGAGGGGGCGGCGAGTAGAGAGAAGAGAGGGTTTAGGGAAAGAGAATTAAAATGAGCCTTGATTAGAGTTAATTTAAACAACTTGAGGAAAATTGAGGAAAATTAATTGAAATCAAATCCAATCAGAAATTTAATTAGAGTTAATTTAAACAACTTTCCTAAAATAAGAATCCTAATTTATGAAACAAATTCAAATTCAAATTAATTTGAATTTTGAATTTGAATTCATTACCAAATTAAGATGTATAAAATAGGAAGGCTTTGAATACAATATGAAATTGTGGGAGCCAATGGGAGAAAGAAGGTGGCTGATGGCTATGGAGGTATTAGGGTTAGGGTTTGTGAGGGTGTTGGCGGTTTGGAGGAGGGGGGAAGATGGCTGATTAAGCTTAGGAGGGGGATGGGGAATTTCGGTAGGGAAGAAGAGAGGGTTGTGGGAAGAGGCCGGCGGGTTTGGGTGGAGAAGGGGATGAAGCCAGCAGGTTTGGAGAGAGGATGGAGATGGTGATTAGAAAAAATAAAGAGAAACAAAAACAAAGAAAACCGTGAGCCTAGACGCTTCATGCGGCTGACGGGAGTTGTGTTGCCCTTCACCAAGGGGGGGAGCCCTTCCGACTGCCACATATCTCATAAACCGATTACCTTAAAAAATCTTGAGACTAAAAACACTAATGAATATCCTATCCTTTTTTTAACCTAAAGTCCGAACTCATAACAATCACACCCAAAATCTTTGGGTATCCTGCCTATGTTCAAATTCATAGGCAAAATAGAAAAAAAATTAGATATAATAAGAGCACTAAGTGTAACTTTGTTAGAAATTCATCCACCCAGAGAAGTTATAAGTACTATCACCCCTCCACCAAAAAAATCCTTTTGCCTGTTGGCATCACTTTTGACAAACAAAAATCCTATTTCACCAAACCTTATCTTCAAGGGGAGACTGAAACCGAGGAAGTGAGGAAAGTGAGCTTGCCCCACTTGACCTTCCAGCTCCACCTCAAATCGATCCACCAAAATCTAAAACCAAAGCCAGGGAAATTAAGGACAAAGTTATTATGGATAAAATGAGATTTGGATGTATATATTCCATGCATACAAATCCAAACTAAGTTTCAGAGCATATCCAAGAATCTAAGTTGTCCCCTAAAATTGAGGTAAAAATAAGTTCACCTAAATAACCTTAACTCATGTGCACTCCGTAATCAACTTTGTATCCCTCCATAATTTCTCACCTTCACACAAAACTTTCCATGTTATACTAAATAATATTCATAATCCTAATAATATTTTTGAAGCCTTATCTGATGAAAATTGAAAAGTGTTATGAAAGATGAAATGCAAGTCCTAAAGAATATTAATACCTAGGAGATCACCAATCAACAATAGGAAACAAACAAATTAGCTACAAATAGGTGTTCTCTACGAAATATAAGTTGATGGTACACAAAATATATATAAGGCAAGATTGGTATCGGAAGGATACACTCAGACATACGACATTGACTAACAGAAAACTTTTGCACTTATGGCCAAGATGAACACTGTGAGGATCATTCTCTTACTACCAACTAATTATAACTGGCATCTAGAACAGCTAGATCTAAAAAATGCATTCCTACATGGGTACTTCGAGGAAGAAAATAAGTATTGAGATTTCACTATGATTCAAGAAAAAATCTGGGGGTGATAAAGTGTGTAGGTTAAAAAAGATTATATGGGCACCTAGAGCATGGGTTGAAAGGTTCTCAAAAGTTAGGCTACTAAATGGTTATCGCAAAGCAAAGGGGGACCATACATTATTCTTCAAGCACTCAGACTTAGGGGTAGTCATAGTTTTGTTAGTTTATGTGGATGATATTATCCTGACGGGGAATGATGAAAAAGAGAAAGTGATTCTAAAGAAATATATTGCTAAGAAATTTGAGATCAAAGAACTTGGTAGATTGAAATGTTTCCTAGAATTGAAGTGATCCACTCTAGTAAAGGAATCTTCATTTCACAACAGAAATACATTATTATTCTTCTTAAAGAAACAAGTAAACTAGCTTGTAAACTAGCACCAACACACCAGTAGAACCAAATCTCAAATTGGAGGAAGCTAAAAAGGATCCAGACATAGATAAGAGAGCTTATCATAGACTTGTGAGAAAATTGATCTACCTTTCCCACACTATAGCAGATATAGCCTTTGTTGTAAGCATAGTCAGACAGTTCGTGTAGAATTCAAAGCATACTCACATGCAAGCAGTAGACAGAATATTGCACTACCTCAAGAAAAATCAAAGAAAGAGGATTCTCTTCATAAGAGAATGTGGAATAATCCCATAAGCTTATACTAAAACAAATTACGCAAGATCACCAGCAAATAGATGATCTACCTCAAGATACTGCACATTTCCTTGGGGAAACATAGTTACATGGAGGAGCAAGAGATAGAATGTGGTGACAAGGTCTAATGCAAAGGCAAGGTTTAGAACTATGACCTTAGGCATATAAGAGCTAGAATGGATCAAGATAATGCTAGAAGACCTAAGGATCAAGTGGGAATGACCCATGAAACTACATTGTGACAGCAAATCAGCAATCAACATTAGCTTACAATCCAATTCAACATGACCAAGCACATAGAAGTGGACAGAAATTTCATACAGGAGAAATTGGACAGTAGACTTATTTGTATTTATCATATCTCATCAAAAGATCAGCTTGCAGAAATTTTTACCAAAGGACTTAATAACTCTACCTTTCTGAAACTAATTACCAAGCTGGAAATGACAAATCTGTATTGTCCAGCTTGAGGGGGAGTGTCCAATATTGTCCCAGCCACCCCTTCCCTCTTGTTCCATGGCCAACATGGGGATTCGTGGGAGGGTCACCTACGCCAATCTCCTTCCATATTTAAGTGGCTAATTTAGGAAGGATTATATTAGTACAATTATGCATTATTCTGTAATTATTTGCTTCATTATTAAGATATATTATATAGATTTATAAATAGGCAGAGCTTTATGCAGTAAAATTAAACCTTTTTTCTCTCCAATTTTTTGAATTTAACAATAATACAGTCCTCAATCATCGAACCCTAGTGTTCATCTAATATCTTGGGTATCGGATTCTCAATTGTTATACTCTCAAGTCCTTAGCAGCTATTCCCCAATGCTCCCTTGGTTCTCAGTTAAAGGACACTTTGGATTCTATCAACCTAGGAACAAAGTTGTGGGCCCATGATCACCTGCAACTCTTCTAGCTAATGTGTTAACAAGTAAAGGTGGTCGGTCATGGGGCAATCTCGATAATGCCTAATTGCACCTTAAAAAAGGCGAGTCAAATATATGACCCACAATTTATATACTTACAATCTTATTTAAAAGTCATACAAGAAAAATGTTTGAGGATGAAAAATGGAATATAATGTCCAAGAAGTTATAATTTGATCTATAATAATTTGAACTATAACAGGTGCAAACCCAAAAAAGCCCTCAGTTGAATCGCCTCCAGCATGATTCAAAATGGCATCCCCGCCTGGATGTTCTTCCACATATGGAGTTACATTATACACCTGCATGGGGAGAACAAATTGCATTATAGTTTCAGTGATTTATAGCACAGAAGATCGGGAAATGGAAACTTGGATAGAAATTAAAAGCAAGTCTTATAACAGAACCTTGTCTTTGACAATAATCCAGCAGTCATCCCTCTTATTATGAAGAGAAACTTCCTCCTTAGTATAAGTTTTCAATTTCTAAAGACAAAAAGGACATTAAAAAAAAATGAGACATGTAGTGGCATCAGCAAATAATCAAAAAAGTTAGGTGATATACTTCTATCAGCAAGATTTTTAGGAGTTGTTTGATTCATTGTTGCATTGATAGCAATGTCATCTAGATAACAATACTATTTATCAAAAACAATATATTAGCTTTATTTTATTTTATCTAAGGGGGTCTGAAAAAGGAATGTAGTGTAAAAAAAAATGTGGTGTAAAAGGAATACTTTGGAAGATTGTAAATGAAATGCATGACATTACTTTTTAGTTTGGTTTGAAGTTGAGTATATGCAATGTAAAGTGCAAAAAAGTTGTGGCCGAGGTGGTCAGCAGTGGTTGGCGACCTGCCTTGTTAGGTGGCAGCAAGCGGTGGCAAGTGGTGGTTGGTGGTGGTCCGCAGCAACAGGGGGGTAGCAGGTGATGGCCGGCGGTGGCGGTCAGCTAGTGGTGGTGTCGGCGGTGGTGGCCGGCAGTGGTTCATGGCTGTCGGTGGTGGAGGGTAGCAATGGGTGATGGTGGCTGGTCTAAGGTGTTTGGCTGCGCCCTACTGTGGTGGCCAACTAAAGGCCGCCCCCGGCGGTGGTGGCTGACCAACGATAGAGAGTAGCGACATGAATTGTTTGCCGATCGGTGATGGTGGCTAGTCAAAGGTATTGACGACCGCCGAAGGTGGTGGCCTGCTAGAGGTGACAGCGGTGGTAGCCAACCTGAGGTGATCGACGGTGGACGGCGACAGGAGGGGGTAGTGGAGGGTAGTGGCGGCTAAAGGCGGAGGTTGCCGGCAGGCAGTGGTAATGGTGATGAGTTTGTGGTATATCTGAAAATCGCCCATATCGGAAGAATTCTAGATACACCATAAATGAACTAACTGGTGTATTCAAAATGCCTGAAATTTTACTTCACATTGCTTTTACTTCAAACCAAAAATCAATATTTTCAAAACCCCTAAATTTGGAATATTTTACACCCTATTTGCAGCAAGCCAAATAGACCCTAAAAAGATTAACAGTGATTATTAACATCCCTTTTGTTGACATTTATTTTAGCCTTCAGAACATAAACTGACATCTAGAAGTCAACAACAGATTATCTTAAACAAATCAGATTACTGGATGAATTCAATACCTTGTTAATGATTTTAAAAGGAATAAGTGAGGTGGGTTTGGTCGAGGAGTGTAGAGTGAAGCCAACATTTTACGACAAAGGCTAAGAAAATAGTAAATGCCAATTCATGATTTAAACAAACTATGTCCTAGAATTTCCCATGCATGCTAAGGTCATAAACATAAATTATTACTTCCAGTAAATAAGCAGCACCTCATTTAAAAATAAGAACACTGTTTGCAAAGGGAGAAATCTGTGAGTTTTCAATAAACAATTCGACATTTATGCATCATGACCTTAATTGTTTTATCGGTGAAGACCAAATGAGGGAGAGCGGAAACAATCATTGAAAAGGAAATAGGAACAAGGGCATGTGCAATGCATGAGATTCCCGTCAATATGAGGAATGGAGAGTGGCTTATGTACAAAATCACTCTTGTATTGCAAAGTGATTTGCCTCTGCGATTCTAACCCAGGATCTTAGGAAACCAACTCTTTGCTATAGTTTGACCCTCTTAAATTGAAATATCTATTTTTAAAAGAGCGTATTTGAATGCAGAAGTACTTGACTGGTTTTCAGCTTTTAATCTTGTTAATGTATGTGACATCAAGACGTTTATCAATAAAGGTAAAGACATTTTGACTCCTTGCATACACCACAGAGCTCATAACTTTAAAGGCATACCTTAGCGATAGTCTGGAGATCCCCTTCGGTTTTACCTGCACCAACAGATTTTGTCGGATGATCCAAATAGCAGTACTATAACTAAACATATCAAATGCTTACATTGCTACCTTTTCCTGCAGATCTTGGATATAGAAATAGAGCTCCCAGGAGAGCAGCTAAAAGCAACGCCACAGCAATCATCTCCATTTCAAGTGAGCTCCAGCGGTGAGCTACAAAATCCAGTAAGGCACTTAATGAATTCACTTTCCATCAAATCATTGAAGATTAGAAGGCAGCAGAAAACAAAGATTTTTTACAGGACATCATGACTAACATTCAGCAATATGTTATGCAATCCTGAAAACCATACCAAACTGCAGAAATATTGAACCGCAGCAGAAGGAATAAGAGGAAGAACATGAAAGAAGTCATCCTATAGCATTTGAAATAAGTTTCAAATTATGCAATTGGGTATAGAAGAGTTTTACGTTTATGAGGTGAGGCATAAGCCACGAGACGTTAAAACTTAAAATTAAACCATTAAATTAATAAAAAATAAAATAATAAACAACATACTTAAGACAAAATAAGATCATAACTAGTCAAATTAAGATCATAACAGGTCTCTCACACAATCAACAACAATAACAACAACATCAAGCCTTTGTCCCACTATGTGGGGTAGGCTACATGAATCCTTTTCGCCATTGTGCTATGTTAAAAGTCAAATTCTCATTTAAATCTAATAAAGAAAGATCATTTATAATATTTTCTAACCAAGTCTTTTTAGGTATACATCTACATTTCTTAATATAAGTCAAATCTAATACCTTAACTTTCCTAATCGGGTCATCGGAAGGCCTCCGTTTAATGTGACCAAACCATCTAAGGCGACTCTCTCTAATCTTATCTTCCACGGGAGCTACTCCAACCTTTTCACATATATGCTCATTTCGTATCCTATCTCTAACGGTAAAGCTCCAATTCTTGTTGAGAATTTTGGTCAAGCTTACAAGGGTAGTTCACCAAAATGAAAGAAAGAATACAAGCTGATTTTCTCCAGTTGGGGGCTACAAGTACATACATAACCTCAAGATGAGCTAGCAGCTACCATAACCTTTTCATTATCAATAAAAAAGAACAATTTTTTTTATGACATTAAAAATCAAGCATTGAGTATACAACTAATATTTTTTAAATAAAAGCATGTGTTATTATGAGAGTATCAAATAACTAATGCTGAAGCTTCACCAAGATCAAGAATGATATGCCACATATAACCATCAAACAAGAAATAAAAATCACAACACAAAAGATGCTAAGATTTATGTAGTTCAACTTCAACCAAAACTACTCCCATCTACTAACAAATATAGAAGTCAAAACCATGGTATGCAAAAGGAATGTACACTCGCGACCCTTCATGGTCTACTATGAAGGAGCACTAATCACCCTTCATAAACCAAGTAACAAGTACACTCAAAGAATAAGCCCAATAGAATCTCTCATAGACAAATTAACTATTTCTCATCAAGATATCGAACATCAAGATGAAGCAAGCCAAAACCCTTGCTAACATCGCTCACCAAGAAACAAAAATTAAGAGGTCTTCACTCCAACAATCTCTTATAGCGAGGGTAGTGCTAAATCTTACATGAAATCATAATCCAAGAGGGTATACTATAAAAGTTGAGAACCATGGGTTAAGAAAACCTAAAGAAGCATCCTTTGCTTATCATCAATGCATACATATCAAATAACTATGTAAATTTTGAGATAAGATCCCTTTCCCAAACACACAAGATTCAAGACCCATCAAATGCATCACAAGGAACTGGATGCAAATCTTGTGGATGGCTATCACACAGTTTGTCATTAGCATAAGTCCTATGAAGGGCATAAATTCCTGTGACCACATGTTCTTAGAATCCAAACATGTCCTGATTTTGACTCCTCAATGCGTGGTATCATCTATCTAATTCCATTCTCTTTGTCTAAGAATGTTTTGAATATCTTTACTATTGAGATGTGTTTAACAATACTCCCCATTGATTCAATGGAGAGGAAAATTGGATATCCTATATGAGTCTTCTTCAGGTCGAACATGCTAAAAAACTAAAGCCTCAATTTGTGCAGTCTCTGAACATCTGCATGTGACCTTCAAAAGCAAATTTCTTTCACACAAAATAGATTCATCAATACTAAAATTGCATCCACCACGAAACTTCTGTATTTCCAAAGTGATTATTTGATTGCTCATAATGGTGCAATGGCGTGAATTGGCACCACGACAAATTGTGCAATGCAAACAAGATCCTTATGATCACCTACTAAATTTCTCTCATCACCTCCTATCAGAATTTATTCTAAAGCTGTTTCTACACTAATTATTTAAAATTTCACAATTTAATGTGCACCCTGAGCGTCAACTCAGGATGAGGAACATGCAAAGCACCTTGAGGTTTATGCCGCTCAATGGGATAAATGAGGTGTATGCCTTGATTGAGATACGCATTAAAGCACACATAATGAGGTGTATGGCTCTATTTCATGATTTGTATGAAAGTTTTGGAGTATAATGAAGATCCCTTAATTATTAATGATGTGCCTTCATATAACGAATAATTTATGAATGATGAAAATGGAGTTTCATCATTATAATTACAAGAGGAAGATCTTAATATTGACTTTTTTTATGGAGGAAGGAACCTGAACAATAAAAGTTGACAAATGAGTAACATAAAATGTAGTATAAAACCTTGTGTAATAGGACTTATGAAAGGTCAATATAATCATTATTTTAAATAATATTTTTTATTAGATTTTATTTTTACAAGAAATGATTGAGATTAAAGATGATCAAGAAGATTGGAAGGATATTCATACAAGTGAGGTTGAGGGAGATGAGAAATCAATCAACTATAATATTGATTCTAATGAAGGCCCTCTAAGTGATAGATAGAAGTGGGAGGGACTTTTGAATTCGAAGTACTAAGTCATAACTAGTTTATTTTAAACTTCTTGTTTATGTTAACTTGTTTATCTTAGACTTCTTGTTTATTATGCAATGTTAGTATGGCATTTTATAATGTCATTTTGGCACTATTAGATTATTCTTAGATGTTTTAATGGGAGAAAGTCAAACTCAAATTTTTATGATGTTACGTTTTATAAAGGCCTAAGAAGGATTACTCTCAAATACTTTATTTTTGTATTTTATTAAATTTAATGCTTTACTTTTGAGGCTTACACCTCGCCTCACCCAAAAATAAATCCTTAAAGCCTCATTGCGCAATTCTAAACCATGCCTATAACCACAAAGGTAAGATTTTTCCACTTTCATAGTATGTGCTGCTCCAACAAAAACCACAACCACCCATTAACTATTTTTGCGAAGTATTCAATTAAGAATAATTTGATTGCTAAAAGAATCATGATTCGATGAAGGAAAAAATTTTTTGACCAATTAAATATCTTGATTTCAAACTTTATGGTCATCAATCTCATAACTGAGCTTTAAACCGAATTTGTTGGGGCAAGGACACTAAATAATTTGAAGTAGAAGCAACACCAAGATCGAGAAAGATATACAACAACCAATCACAAAAGAGAAGAAAATCATCCTTCACTTAAGAGTTATCATAGGCATATCAAGGAGGATACCCAAGCAAATACATGATCTAATGTCCATAGCTCGCATCCCAAAGCATTGGAAGAGAATCCTTCAGATGCTTATGGTGTAGCTTTTTCAATCTTATTTGAAATGCATCTAAGAGAGAGTGCATCGTGGAAGCCTCTAAACATGGCCTAAGAAACCCTAGAGAACCACCCTTCACTTAGACTTCTCATGGGCATACCAAGGAGGATACCCACACAAATTTCATGAAAGGATTTATTTCCCATTGCACATGATCTGATGTTTATAACATGAATCCCAAAGCATAGCATTTGAATTCTGAGGATGCCTATTGTACCATTGGTATGATCTGATGTTTATAACATGAATCCCAAAGCATAGCATTTGAATTCTGAGGATGCCTATGGTACCATTGGTGCACGTCCGATAAGAGCAAAAATCCCAATGACTGTATGCCCTTGAGGAGAATCCATGGTGTTGATCCAAATCAAGAAATAAACTTTGATTTTTGCTCCTCAAACTGTCATCCCACCCGTCCCACTCGATGTCCCTCAATAAGGAGCATCATGGATATCATTAATATGGAGTCCAGTTTAACATCCAGTTTATTTAACAAAACTCTACCATAAAGCAATTTGCTTACAAAGAAAACTTACAAAAAGGAGGTTGACATATATTAAACAATGATCCTTCAGGTTTTACGAAAAAATGAAAATTAAAAAGACCACAAAATCTATGCACTTATTTCAGACAAATATCGCACCATTCCTAGTCTAGTTTCCACCACAAAAAATAAATAAATAAATAAACATTCTTGGTCCAGCAAAAAGAAAATATCAAGTCGGAATAGTTGAAATTAATTCTTCTTAATTAAACAAATTCTAACGAAGTAGAAAAATTCATTTTAACAAAGGAAGCAGAGCTTGTCAAAGAATTACCTTCCTGGCAATGGCAACCTGTTCACAATGTAATCCGGCTTCAACAAGTAGCAGCGTCGACTAAAATACATGTCAATGAACGGATTTCATATGTTCGATCTCTGGCTGCTGATTTCAGTAGAATGGAAGCTGGGCCGACGAGCTAGGGTGCCCGCCGAAGGTCGCTTGATCGAGCGATTCAGAATATTTCTCGGGTGTTGTATTTAGGGCATCTTGAATCAATTTTTTTTATTTTTCATTTCAAATTACTGTAATTATCAAATTAAATATTAATTCATTCTTAACCAAATTTTATTTTTAATACAAAAAAGAATATTCTATGTAGAATATTTCTCTTCTTCATATTTATAAAAAAATAAAATTCTATAAATAATGTGACACACTCATAGTTGCAAAAATATATTTCTTTTTGACATTCGGGTTAAGGCTCATGATATGGACGTTTGCAATTCAGTTGGAGATGCTCTTAGGCTAGATTTAGATAAGGTTTGAGCTAAATATCTCATAGTAAGTATTTTTGCCCTAAATTCTAGATTTCATAAATTCCATATTTTGACAAATTTAACTGCATAAGCGCATGAAGGGGAGAAATTGTTGGAGAGTTAGAGAAATAAGATAATGAAAATAAGAAAGTGTCAGTGGAATAAAGAAAGTAGTGCAATTTTTTCTTCTTCTTCTTCTAAAAATTCATGTAGAGCAACATAGTTTTAAACAAAACTAAAAAAACATACTGGCATACTAAAAATACACCTTTTTAATAATACCACGGTTTCCATTTTTTAATAATATTTAAATAGTAAACTAAATTTTGCATTAATAACAAACACAATCCCTTAATGCAAAATTCCAATCCCAATATTTGAAATCTCTCAAATTTTCAAAAATTGTGAGCTTTTTGAATCCATAAGCAACTTGATATTCAGTAGAACAATACTTGATTGCAATAGTTCCTTTTGCCATAACTTCTCTCACAAAATGGTGTCATAGTTCTATATACTTCAATCTTTCACGAGCATCATATTTTTCATCATAAATATTGTAGATTTATTATCATAATATATCTTTGTCACCTTTAACTGAGGTTGCAGAAATCTTCTAATATTATCCTTATCTAGATTGGTTGACATATTACTGATGAAGCTGCAATATATTCAGTTTCTAAAAATGATAATGTTGTATTAGCTTGCTTTTTTGTACTCCAGGATATTGCTCCAGACCCAAAATTGAACATAAATCCACTTATGTTTTAGAATATGTCTAATCATTGTTAGTAAAACCAACTAAATTAAAGTTAAAAACTGATTTGTATCAAATCCCATTATTGATTATCCCGAATGTAGTGAAGAATGCATTTAGTTGCTCCAAGATAATGTCAAGAAAGATTATATATGAACTTAGAAATAAGATTGATATAGTACATAATATCGGGTCTGGTATGTGTTAGATACATAAGACCACTCACAATTCCTCTAAATACTTTCTCATCAGCCTTAGTTGTATAGTCATTTTGAACTAACTTTTCATTTGAATTTATGGGTGTTAAAAAAGTCTTGCAAGTCAGCATGCTATATTTCTTTAATAACTCCAATGCATACCTTTCTTGATTATAAAAATCACATAATCCACTTTAATGATTTATAAGCCCAAAAAATAATGCAACAATCCCAAATTAGTCATATCAAATTCTTTCATCATATCAGTCTGGAACCTTTCAATCAACACTTTGAATGACCCAAAATAGATAATATCATCAACATAAATACAAACAATAAGCAAATCATCTTTTTTAGCTAACACATACTAGGTGGGCTCATTTTCACTTCTATAAAATTCCTTCTTTTGGAATATGAATCAAACCTCTAATATCATGATCTTAGTACCTATTTAAGCCCACATATAGCCTTCTTTTGTTTGTAAACTTTCTCCTCCTTTTCTTTAATAATGAAACATTGTGGTTAATCTATGTATATATCTTCTTCCAAATTACCATTTAAAAATGCAAATTTAACATTAAAATGAAAAACTTTCTACTTCATTTATGAAACTAATGCAAAATAATAATTTAGTAGTTTCAAATCTAGCAACATGATAAAATATTTCATAAAAATCAATACCATATTGTTATGCATAACCTTTGACAACAATCTTTACTTTGCATCTTTTTAAGCTTCCATCTGAATTGTAATTCACTTTGTAAATACATTTCACATCAATTAGAACTTTTTCTTGTAGCATATCAACAAGCTCTCAAGTATCATTCTTCTTAATACCTTGAATCTCCTCTTTCATAGAATTTTCCATTCTTCTTTTCCATAAGAATTTTCATAATATAATAGTTTTGTAACCATAAGGGCAAATGTATAATCATTCAACATATACAAATATCTCATCTTTCTATGATGCCTCTCTTCATATGTGCTTGAATCTAATGATCATGGACTTGAAAGGGATTAATTAGATGACAAACTGTCACGACCCGGCCCGGTGAGCTCGCATAGGCGAGGCGGGAACAAAGGTCGGAAGGTAGGCTAAAATTTTCTAATCACTAAATCTATCTCCATAATAATTGAAAGAGCCTCTAAAACATCAAATTGAAAACACTTAAACATAAAATCAGGCATAAACATAAAATTACCTTTGCTCAGACGTTCCTCTTCTACGATATATATTGCCACCCTTTCTATTCATTTTTTGTTATCTTAAATTTACCTGAAAAATATTAACAACTAACATTAAGCTAACGCTCAGTAAGTAATACACAATTTTAAATTACAGTAATCAAGATAAACTGAACAATATGCTAAATGCCAATTTCATATGAACATAACATAAAAATGATTTCATACAAACATAACATTAAGCACATTATAACATGAAGCCATATTTTTCATTTATTTCCATATTCATATCATTAAACTTAGCTTTTTCTTTTCGTATATAATACAACCGTCATAGGAGCCACCGTCTAGTATCATAAAGGTACTCCTTTAAAATTTCCTTTTTCATATCCTTTACCATTTTATCGTGCGAGTACAGCATCCCTAGCTAGTACCATCAGGAAGTGAGCTCCATCCTTTCAGCATACACATATAAGCATTCAATATAGCATTCATATCATTTCATATCAATTCATTTCATATAACATAAACTTTATCATATAAGACCATAAAATGTACATGTAATTTGTATGATCATTCATTTGACAACAATAAAAAATTTGACAACAGTAAAGGATAATGATTGCATATAACTTGAGGGTAACAAAAATATTACTGAAATAAAGAATTGTGCATACTTACAAAAGTTTGGAAATTGATTTCTCTTGCCAATCCTTCTTCCTTCGATGTCACCATGATTAATCACTTATAAGTATCAATTTTTCATTTTAAAATCTACATACTAAACTTAAAACAAAATTCTCATTCTCTTTCTAAACTACTATAGTACTCTCTTTCTCTCATTCACTCTCTTTCATTTTCATAATTACAAACATATGAATTTAATTTGCTTAATCATTTATCAAAATTCCCCTTACCCAACATTAACATCATTAACTTCTTGATTGACATCCATCTAATAATATTAATAATCATTAAAATAAATGGTTAAGCTCCCAAATTACAACAGGAATATACTTAATCAATATATAAATTATCAAACACCATTCTAGTGCCTTCACATAGAACTTCGAACAGTTAAAAATTCCCTTAAAATAGAGAAAGAACAAAGGCTTTAGGCTTTAAATTTGAACACTATACTTTAGATTTTAGCATTTTAAGCTAGATTTAGATTTGAATTTGATTTAATATTGATGTTTATCATTTATTAGAGAGTTTAGGATTTAAAATACTCAAATCATTGGTTAACTGATAGTGATTGAGTGGATGATCAAGTGACTATCAAGGGTGATTATCAAATTACTAATTTAGAATTTAACGATTGAATCACCATGTTAGAGGATACTGGGGAATTAGATTTAAGCTTTAAAATGGAGTTCAAAGAATTAAAAACTAAGATTGTAGCTTAGATGTAGAGTTCTAACCTCAAACAAAAATAAGGTCAATAGTTATGGGATGATAGTGAAGGATTAATAAGAAGGACTAAAGCTTTTGGGGACATGATGGATGGGAGAGGTAAGAGCGGAAGTCAAATAGAGCCAACTAATTCCTCCATGATAATATTGACACTTATAGAACCGATAGTATAGTCTAATACAACAAGATAATATGGATTTGTCTAAAAGATCCTCTAATAAAATTCTCTATTCATAGAACTTTTATGAATTTCATAATAATAATTGCATTTATAAATTGATAATAATTACATAACATATTGGCTGAGAACCTGATTGAATGTCATACATAGATGTGTGAATGAGTTACCTCGTTGAATTTATTAATTTATTAAATGATACGATTAATATGATTGATGAAGTAAAGATTAGTAATTTATTTAATTTACTGATGATTATATCAATTTGGTTTTGGATTGATTTTACCATTAATTTGATTTTAACAAAATATTTTTATCATGTTTATTCTTATTTTTACATTGTTGTGTAATGATGGGAGCTATAGAGTAACCTATAGAATTATGAAATAATTTAGGGCTCTATCAATCCCTAACAATAATTAGATTTTATTTTATATAAAAATTATAAAAATCATACTTAATATATGCAAGTATATGTGCCGAATCAAGTAATATAATAATAGGGTTGAGTATCGTTCTCATGAGAAAGATATGCTTACTTACAAACACTAGTATACTAGAATTATAATAATTATCCTACTCAATAAAAATATATGTTGTGAAGATTCAATCACTTAAATAAAATTAAATAAAGAAAATGAGTACATTATATGGATATAATATTTCGGATTGATGAGTATAAATAACATATTTTTTAATGATTTTCTTTTAATTGTGATGCTATTCAGAGCATATGCATTCTTAGATATTTATCTAGCTTGTAGGAACAAAAAATGTCTACTAACTTCCTATGGTTATATCATCTCCTTAAAAATTAGTACATTTCAAACCCTAAGCTTAGGTATGATGCATACTAATTCAATATTCCTGATTATGCCTGCTTCCCTCCATCGAGTCTCCACATTACACCTAATTTTAACTGCACATATAGATACTATATGCATTAAATTAAGATATAATAATATTAAAA